TGGACTAAAACTCGAATTTAATCTGCACTTTTGATTTCGTAGATCTGGCTCCAAATAAAGAAAGCTAAGTCTCTACATATTTTAAGTTGATTCTAAAAGTAATAGTAGAGTGCTTGGTTTACAACCTATTATTATCCACTACATAGGTACTCGTCGTTTTAACCAAGCAAACATAGCTACACTGCCTACATTCACTTCAAGGATGTTAGAAAAGTATAATAACTGTCTTTACATTTTCAAATCCTCGGCATGCACAGAAATGCTTCTGTAGCTGGATTTAGCCAATGATTTTACAACTAAATAAAAATGTATGAAGACAATAAAATGCTTCGAACTTAACAAAACCAGTAAGCGACAGTATATAAAATTACTGATTTCAATGCTTAAAGCTCGCACAAAAAGTATTATTGGCCATAAACAATTCTTCGCGAAGGAAGAACATCATAAATGTAAATTGGTGCGCATAATAAAAACTTGCACTTTTTTCTCGCTGTAGTAAAAGTACTGTTATTAATTTAATTTATAATAACGAAAACTGTTCTTTGTGGCAAAAGGCCTTCGCTTTTGACTAAGAGAAACGGATTAAAAACAACCATTAAAACATTTTTGGTCTACATTTGCCCGAATTACATAATTAAGTATCTTCCAATTGGTTTTCATTTTATTTTTTTCTGCTTTAAATCCCATAGTAGTGTCATAGTGTCATTGATGATTAAATTCAGCATTGCTTTTACCCTAATGATAAAAACCAATCATATCTGGAGATTATCTCTTTCGAAAATCGGAATGAATCATAACAAGACGTTATGTTATAAAATATGTTCTTTCCATAAACTTAACTCGAAAACTAGATCAAATGCCTTGTATTTATAATATGCTAATAAAAGACATCAAATACCCTATTAAATCTTTTTTATTAACATTTGAAGGTTACCTCTATTAGGAAAAGCAGTGGGCCCAGTGGGGCAGTAACGGGTTAGACCATCAACACCAAATAAGGGATTTACAACTACCTTAAGCATCTTGAACCTTTCTGATTCATCGAAGAAATTATTGAAGTGGTTATTATGACTTAACTTGGGTAGATTGGAGACAGTTTCCTGTTGCTGCTAGGGATGTTATGGATATATAGTTTCGGTTATGGATACGGTTACAGATATAGGAATAATATTATACCGGTTACGGTTACGGATACTTTTTTATTTTGGATATCCGAAAGTTTCGGTTATGGTTACGGATATCTGTGCTTTAGAATGCAATTTGCAATAGTTGTCCAACACGGTTCATTCATGACCGCACTCTTAACATCGAATAAAAAGTAATAAATAATAAAAAATTGATACTAGATGGCATTATAAAGGTAAATCAGGCTGTTATGCCTTTACATATAATAATATAATAATAATAATAAATACTCTTTATTGTACACCACATAAAAAGAAACAGAAAGAAAAGGAACACATAAGGTACAATTAGGCGGTCTTATCGCTATGAAGCGATCTCTTCCAGACAACCTATAGAGAGGACATATAATGCTATACAAAAAACAATTTCAACTGCCTACATCCGAAACTTTTGAATCGGTTACGGTTACGGTTTCGGATATTTTTTTATTTCGGATATCCGAAAGTTTCGGTTTCGGTTACGGATATCCATAACATCCCTGGTTGCTAGTGCTACTTATAGCACTTCTCTAAAGAGCTTAGTTGTGATGTAAATAAATCAAATTATGGATGGCTATTTTGAAAATTGCTTACGACAAGAGCCTTATTTACCTGTAACATGAAATAATCATATCACAGTCACTAGTAATAGTTGGTACCAGTTCCTAACTTTAAATCATGTGTCTTGGATATTGTTATTTTCATCATCATCATTTCAGCCAAAGGACGTCCACTGCTGAACAAAGGCCTCCTCCAATGCTTTCCACGTTGATCGATTGGTAGCGGCCTGCGTCCAGCACTTCCCTGTTACCTTTATGATGTCGTCGGTCCATCTTGTGGGTGGAAGCCCCACGCTGCGTTTTCCGGTACGATATTGTTATGCTTTAGGGAAACTATTTATTTAAATTAAACTATTTAATAGTGTTGTCCAAATATCATCAGTTTTAGATCAACAATCATAAAATAAGACAAAGAGAACATTTTGTGCACTGACTTTTATTTTTAGTCCGTTTTACATTAACTGCTCATCGGCCATAACTGCCATTTTTTCTTTCATCAAACTAATTGCTACATTTGCTCGGGTATTTATTTTAATAGGGGTTTAGTTTATGCACAGATAATATGTTACTGCATACAATATTTGAAGGACATGCCTTTTTTTAGTAAATACACTTTAAAGTTCTTATTATGTGGTTTTGTTTTTGTGTATGTTGTGTGTTACGTTTCGACTTCTTTGGAGCTTTCCTGAAAAATGGCGCATTTCAATAATGAGGTCAAAGAAAACGCAAAAAAAAGATTGCAGTTATTTGAAAACTTTATTAATAATCTAGAGCATTGCTGTTTACTAATAAACTATCACAAAGTCATAATTATTGCCCGTAAAGCTATTATTACAAGTAAATATTTATATTCCTATTAAAAGCTAATACAACTATTAATAATTCTGAGTATAATTGAACACTATGTAATTAAAATGTCATATTCAGTTTGCGATGTTTTAATTACATCTATAAATTTATTAACTATTATAGGTTACATAGTATGCTAGCAAGTTATAAATCTAAAACCATGGATAAGTAATTAATGCCAAACGCTTTTGTATCTTAATCAATAACTTTAAAGTAAAAATATAGTCATTGGAACTGATATGTAATTAATTCTCATTTGTATTTAACTTTGCCTATTTATAAACTAACCTACACTGACCGTTCAGTTCTTAAAAGCTTATCTTTAAACAATTCAGAATATGAATAAAAGTTTATAATTATGACGCTCTTACATTATACATTCACGTCCATACATAAATCATAACTGACACCATCCATCTCCACGACATACATATTTATCACCTAATTAAGCTCGTCTATTTCGTGATCGAATGCATGAAACTTTAACTTTCTAATTGCTTATCAAACTAAGACAGATAACCTTCACTAATTATAAAGAAAATAAAATTTGCAACACCTTTTTACGACCTTCGCGAACATTTCTCTTTGGGTTCCAAGTGGCTGTCTCACACATTAACATGTCCTCTTCTACTTTGGCTTTGACATCAGTTACTATGTTGAATGTTTGCTTCACGTCACCCACTTTAGGTTTCGAGCCTTTCTTACCATCCTTCTTGACAGGCTCAAAATTAACTTCTTGGTTAATATTAAAGATGTTCTGAGCGGTACGATCCGTATCATTATCATTTCTTTTCTCGAGACGGATATCACTATCTTGATGAGTCAAAGAACCCCTAAAATTAACAATGACTGTTGGTTTGACCACAGTTTGAGATTCTCTGTTGCCGATCTGGCTATTGCCACTTAAAGTGTTCGACACAGGCGTAATATTATCTTGTAACGGTGTCTGAGTTTCTTCTTCTTGGTCTTCATTCTCTTTATTTTTGTTCGCGACTTTATTTTTGTTGGGCGTCGGTGGACGCTTTTGTTTCTTTGGCTTTTGAGTTGTCTTTGTAATTTTGTCTGTATCTACGAAAAGAACGATTTCCTCGGTTGTTACATTTACCACTTTTTCTTCTGTGTCGTTCAAGCTTTTGGGAAAACGGTATTTTAGAGGTAGAGTCGGCATTTCGATTCTGTCGTTTCTTCGTGGGATAAAATCCGCGTCGCTCGGCAAGTGTGGTGGTTCGTTGTCGTATCCGTACTTATCGTAGTTTTGGGACAGATTGTTGTCTTCATTTTGGTTGAAATCTTCTGGTAGTTGGGCGCGAATTCTTAACGATTCGATTACGTCACGGAATAGGGACTTTTTCTGGTGAGGAGCCGCTATTTGCTTGTCTTTGGCTGGGTGTGCGCTGCACAGTATGATCATGTACGTCACACAGATGAAGCACTGCATCTGTAGAAGGACAGTAGACTCATTTTCATATCGTAGGTGTAACAGCAAACGAATTGGAACTAAATAAGAGGGGAAAGTATTGAATGACACCGAAATAGACTTGAATGCAGTTTTGGGACAACTGGATTAACGTAAAAGTTGCTACTTTCTCATTAAAAGGAAACGAGATTTGGTTCGTTTGTGGCAATGCACGACTTTATATGCTCTTAACTCGAAAAATTCCACTATTACACTCCAGAAAATTCGATTCCTATTTGCAGCACGTACGAAACTGGTTTGATTTGCAAGTTTATTAAACTTTGCGTTTATTAACTTAAGTATTTAAATTTTATGCTGAACTTCACGGCAGATCACACTTTTTACAAACAATACTTTAAGTATTACAAATTTTATGACTTCGACCTTTTGGGAACTTACAAAAGGCAACCCATCATCTCTCTATGAACGGATTGCTATAATCAATCCCAACAAAATCCATCCATCAAAATCCGTAGATATTAAACTATATAATAAGATAGAGAATAAAATAATTGAATTTTAATTTGAATCACGCAAATCGGACATTTACAATTTTAAAGGGATCTAAGGCATTACCCATTGAATCACCTTACTTAAATATTAAGAAGAAACACTTGGGTCTTAAGATGGGACATCACTCTGGGTCTTAAAGTCAATTTCTCATTAAAAAAATGTATAGAAATGGTTTTACTTTAAAGGTTGGTTGCTCCTATGTAGCAAATATCACTTGTGAACTCATGAACAATCGCTCTCTTAGAGCGATTTCACATTTAGGCGATTTAGCAGCGAGACAGACGCGCTGCCGAAAATTTCATACTATGTGACAGATGCATGCCTTCGCATTACTAAAACGCCGCTGCCGCGCTGCTGTTGCGCTTCTACCGCCCTAATGTGAAAGCGCTCTTATAAAAAACTGGTTATTTTTGAAAAAATAAGTAAGAGATAATGTAAAATATAGCTTACCTTTGACGATGAGCTCGCGCCAGCCCGTCCTGCGCAGGAGTGCGCGCGCGCCGACGGGAGCGCGAGGGTTGACTGAACTCGCCTGAACTGCGCCAGGTGTGCTGAATCCGTTGCACTATTTTTTATTTTTCTATTTACTAGTTTAAGCACAATAATCTACTAAGAATTAAAATGCTGTTCTAATTTATTATAGTTCCACGCACAAAAGGTTGACAAAGGTGACTGAAATTTTCCGTCACTTTGTCCCAGTAACATCCGATATGTTTTCCCAAACTGGTGGTGAGGAAAAATTCGAGTATATTCCTGTCCTGTGTGAACCTGTGTCCTGAAAGAGTATTTTCCTTGCGTAATTATTTAGGATCTAGGTCTTTATTTTCTTGTGATAGCCTGCGATTATAGCCTTCTTTTGTTTTCTGAGCTCATAGGTTCCTTATACAGCTATCTAAACTACTTATAGAACCCTGATGTCAAACCTATGAGTTACGGTAGGCGTTTATCAAGGCTCAAGGTGTAGCCAACATAATAACAATGCCTCCTGCACTCACATATTGCCATCTTTCGTACCGAATTTAATTCAGATTTTTTTAAAAGTAGGTACTAGCAACCAATTTTCTGTCGAGTTTGGTGCAAGCAAAATATGGGAACGAGTAGGTAAAGGGTAGAAGACTGAGTACATATTATGTTAAAAATATGTACCAGGGTTCAATAACCAACTTATTTGCTGAAAATAAACGATTGTTGCGAGTTTTTACTTAAAACAAGAAAATTCCAAGTTCTAAACCCCTGGCTTCTACCTACAGCTTACTCGTCTAAGTCGGGAACTACGAGATTCCCACCATACGGAAATCGTTACGTTCACAAGTGAAACTAGTAATTTGAACCCTATTTCGTAATACATAATGACTACTATAACCGCAGATACAGGTGGTGGTTTTTTGCTGTAAATGGGTGTTTGCATATTCACGCATGGATGCGTGGTTATCGACTTTTTATCGAGATAGTTCCATATTGAGTTAAAGGAACTGGAAGTGTGTTTTGTGATTTTTGTGTTTATTAAAACCATTTATCGATTTATTCGTCATCACCAGCTCCACATAAAATATGGTCACAAAATAAAGTCAACATCAACTTTAACACGGCTGAACTACACTCAACATCAAATAAATCGCACCTTTCGCGACGCGAACTTTAAAGATTTTCTTCTGACACAATCATGGTGCCCCATCCTTATAAAGACACATTTTTAGGGTAAAAAGTGTAAAAACCTTTCCTTTAATGAAATGAAGTTTAGAACTAGGCTTTTAAATGGTGTCAATATTGGTGGGAAGTGGGGATGCATACGTTTGAAAATGCTTGTAGCAGTAGGTGCGATTTATTTAATGTACTCTACATCAAATAAATCTCACCTTCCGCGTACATTGTGGCAACGAAACCATAGGCTTCTGAATATCATATGTTTTCCCTAGATTCACTGAACTCAGTCACTATTATAAACACTATCGCTTTTTAAGAAAGTGGTTTTTCATAACGATATCAATACGTTAAGAAAGGCTCGGTTTTGATTTTCACTTTGGTACTAAAAATAAATGTAAGAAAACAATTTGACCCAAATGTCATCAATTTTATTGTGATGTTTTAAATAAAACATATTCCTGAAAATGCAATAGTGTCTATTCTAAACATTGCGATTCCTTCAAAAACGATCATACCAATTAATGCATTTACTTGAGTTTGCAAAATACGAGTACTTCCTCAACTATACCTATCTATCCAGTTGTTTTCAAAATTAAAGCTTAAATGCACAATATAATTGTTCTGTACTAGCCACTAAATTGTTTACCACATAATGTCATTCACATGCATCTTTGCTTGAACAATTCAAATAGGCGTTTTACTTTGATCTCTTCTCTTGGCCTGTCTAGTCTAGATGCAGTTTAGTTCTAAAAATACTAACTTATTAAAGCATAATGTATTCAAAACTATGTATATAATATCACTATTTTATATCACCAAACCGTTCAATTCATGACCACAACTCCTAGTAGTCCGGTCAAATTAGACATCAACCCTGCAAATAATTCGCATACAGCTGAAAATTGAATCACTGTATCACAGAAACGCTGACTCTTAGGAGAAAGTGTAAAGACAATTTTAATAGTTATTATTTTACATATTGTCTTACATATTTTTATGGTGTAACTTACCGTTTGGTTGAAAATCGCAAAAACCTGTATTTTTAAACTTTGATTTTTTTAGCACATATCGGATCGATGGGGACTTTTCACATTTCATTCATAATGGTGCTCCGAACATTCGTACCAATTTTTAGCTGTATGCGAATTATTGCAGGGTTCATGTCAAAAATTTGACCGGACTACTAGGAGTTGTGGTCATGAATTGAACGGTTTGGTGATATATATCTCCACTATAGTGGAGTATCTTCGAGCCTGTCCAGATGACGCGTTTTTCTCGCAAGTTTCGAATCACGCGATAGTGAGGTACTAGAGGGTGATACATTCTGTCCATATGCAGTCGCGAGTTTTGCCTAAGAATCTCAATCGTGCGATTCAAAACGCGCGAGTAAAAACCGTCATCTGGACATGGCCTTCGAGTCTTTATTGTTCATTCTTCTTAAATGTATTGTGTTCATTCCTTCTCCTCAATGACTTCTTGTCTGCAGTTTGACTTCGTAGTTATCAACATGTTTCATCATGACGTCGTATTGTAATCGTAGAGGCTCCGTACTGCTGGTCCCTGAAGCGGGCAGGACCTTGTACTCCCTCACGAGTGATGTGATGATGGTCTTCATAGACATCATCGCGTACTGGTAACCTGAAATGTAATTCATTATAGTATTAGGCCCATATTTTTTACGTCTTACAGTTCGAACATTTACCGCGAAATTGTTGTTGTTTGAAATTAAACCATGGAATACTTAATTACTTTAGGCCGATAGTTGGATTGGGCTGTTGATCAGTATGGTGGTGTATGAAAGTGCGCACATTATACCGATTCGGTATCGGCCGATTCTTCATACAAATTAGAATCGGTCCAACAAACTATCAGCCAACTAAAAGTCGGCTAAAGCATCTATTTGGCAAAATGCGTTTGTTACGGAAAGGTACATTTAGTTTTACGTGACTAAGTTCGATCAAAGTTATCTGTAGCTAGGTATCTTCAAAATCCGATGAGTAGTTTTTGCGTGAACGAACAATAACATTTATTTAATTACAGATTAGAGTACGTGTTGATCTTTTCTCTAAATTGTGTCATAGCATACTCGTATGTGTGCTTCAACAGAGATTGATAAATCAGGCGCTTACAATAATATTCCACTTTCTGATCTATACTCCGATATAAAAACCCGTTGGGCTTTGGACAGCTGAGTTTCTTCCGTCACGTCTTCTCAGCACCAGCCCATAATTGTCCAGAAGTGGTGGGCAAGCTATTTGGGAGGTATACAGGCTGATTTTATAATCAGTATCCAAATTTTTAGGAGCGACTCAGAATCAGTATTAATCGATTTACGTAAAGAAAACATTTAACAAATGATAGAAACAACTTTAAAAAATAAGATATGGACAGTGGACCCGCGAATTAGATTTTCAATAAAAAAACTTTCGCGAAAAATACTACCGTAAAAAATAATTAGGATAAAGTTGTATTTTTAAATTGTTCTATAGAGCTTATTGAAAAAAAAATTGATACTGATTGCAAAGTCCCCCTTTATAAGCGCCCTGGAAAGGGCCTAAGTACTGAATAAAAAGCCTTTGATCCTTATTCCTTACCAAGGCAGTTCCTTGATCCGTAGCTGAACGGCATATACGCAGCTGGGTGGGTCGGGGGGCTGTCGAAGAACCGCTCCGGCCTGAACTCCTCGGCGTCTTCGCCCCAGTAGCGGGGGTTGCGGTGGATCGCCCACATGTGGATCACCACGCCCACTCCGGGAATGAGTTTTGTGCCCGCAGCTGTTTAAAATGTTAAGTTAGATAGTCGTCGTCGTTTCAGCCGAAAGATGTCCACTACTGGACAAAGGCCTCCCTCAAGGATTTCCACGAAGACCGATCCTGCGCCGCTCGCATCCAAGCACCTCCCGCGACCTTCACTAAGTTAGATAGTATTATAGGTATATTGAATTTTCGGATATATCCAATTTATTCTATAACTTGTTATAGTGTTATATTGTTTATACCTAAAAGTGGTTCACTAGTTCTATCAAACGGTATCACGTTTGATAGAACTAGTGAACCACTTTTAGGATCAGTAATCAATTTTTCGATGTCTTGTTTAGTTTAGAAATAATCGAGTGAGATCACTTATCGATTCCACCCGGTATTGACGTGCATAATTTTTTAGTTGGCAAACTCAAGCGTCAACCAATCTTCAAAAACCAATCTTTTAAATTACCCCGCTCCTTCTCGACTGTTAAATTGTGCTGAACCCACTCGAAACACAAGCGTGTTTATCTTACCACGAGGGGTAAAACGGGACTTTTAAAATTGTAAAGTAAATCAGTGACAAACTAGTAACACTGCGTTACAAATGAAAAAAAAAAATTAAGTACCTGCTTTGAAATGTCGCGTTTTCTTATTAATTCCTATCGTTTAGTAAGAATACATAGATATTTTCTTCCCATCACGTCTCATATTTTTCCCTGAGGATGTGCCAAATTATGCTTAAAACTGAAAGAATCAAATATAATTTATAGAAATCTAATAAAATATACCAGATTTTTATACATCAATCGAGTTTATTTTTTATCATTTAGGTATAAAAATTTGTGCCGTGTGNTATCTGTTATTGTCTTTCTTGCATAGCATTAAGAGTAACATTTTTCTATCATAACGAAATAAACGCAACACATGACAAGACAACCCTAGCGCGACGGCCGAGCGTGCGAGCGAGAGAGGTATGCAAAGCGAGGTACATACATGAGTTTACCTTCTGTTATATTTTGTGACCAAGATTAGATGGGAAGAAAGATAAGTGGGAATGAAGAAAGTGAATTTTTAACCACATTCTAAAACTCAACTTTTCGTTTGATTTTAACATGTTGTTAACTAGCTGTTCAGCATTTTCGGCTCTATGGTTCCCTAAAAACCCTTTTACAACTGCTTTCAGTGATAACCAGGCATCGAGTTCCTTGTCAGTAAGCTTTTTGTCAAAATTTAGGTATTTCATCAATATTCGTATTTCTGGTCCCATGGTACCTTCTTTGAGTTTTGCGTCAGTTAACTTTGAAAAACCGTTTTCAAATATATAAATCCATCTCCCTCTTTATTCTTAGCCATAAAATTTTCTTTCAACATACCAAGTTTTATGTGGAGTGGTGTTTACCACAAACAAAACTTATTTGGTGCATTTTTGCAGTTGCGACGGCCACTTAGTTAAGTAGTCATGTTAGATTTTCAAATAAATATGCTCAGAGATATCGAGCTTATCGAATGGAAACGATTTTGTATGAAATAAAACAATAAAAAAGTATATCATCGAAAACCTCAACTATTCTTATACGCCTAAAGTGAGGGTAGTTTAAATAATGATTGACTTGTACCTCGAGAACTAGACGTGATGGATACCACATATGTTTGGAACTTTTTATCTACGACTAATTACCTATTAATTCCAGCTATCAGTTTAACGGGTACCAAAATCGTGTAACGCAGTGTAATTAATACATAGCACGCTTCTAAATGTTTGTCAGTTTCATTCTATTGTATGAGTCTATGATTAAATAAGGTCACGGCTAAATTGGACTGATGCGACTGCTTTTAACGTGTCCTCCGAATTATTTTTATTTCGGACAGTCAAGTTGATTCAAGCCTGTAATATCTTGACCAAAATGGGAACAAATACGCTATGTGCCTGAGAAGGAGGACCAGCGATAATCAATATGTCTGTCATATGATACTTACGGGTGACGCATTCTTTGTCTGCTTTCCTTGCCGTGATTGGTACTGGTGGGTACAGCCTGAGCGTTTCCTTTATGAAGGCCTCCAAATACTTTAGGTGAGGCAGGTCATCGGCTGTGATTGGCCTGTCCGAATCACCGAATACTTCCTGTATTCTGCAATAAAATTAGTTTCAAGCTTGTATTCGCTCTTTGATTAATTCTCGATATGATTAGTGCATAATAGTTAGTAATATTATATTTTGTTGTAATAATTTTCTTCTCCGTAAGTGGATTTTGTGAATTACTGGTTGGGTTCTTATTGGCGGTCAAGCTGTAGGTCCTGGCTACACAGGAGTTGCAGCGGTGGAAACGAGAGGTGGGAATAGTCCTGTATACGTCATCATTTCAGCCATAGGACGTCCACTGCTGAACATAGGCCTCCCCCACTTTCCATGTTGATCGATTGGTAGCGGCCTGCGTCCAGCGCTTATACGTACTCTTTATAAATCTTCTCCTGCATATCAAGGTGCTGCGACAGCATGACGGTTACGAACGAAGCCCCCACTGCTGAAGTGTCGTTACCAGCAATCAGCATCACGAGAGACTCTTCCAGCAACTCCCTGTCGGTGTAACCGTGTTCCGCGCCACCAGACGATTCGATCAGTAGGTCCAAGAATGGTTTTGGAGTATACTCTGAAAGGATAGTTAGCTACAGAAACGGATCTGATATCACTTTTCTTTTACTGCAATTTGTACAGAGTCAGCTATCATAAAATGGCTTCTGCCCTGCCTCTGCCTTTTGTTGACTTCCGCAGAATACCAGCGTCATGTTCTGGGTTCACATGCTGATCGGTTGCCATCATGGTTCACAATATGTATTATACTTATTACGTATTTTCAAAATACGTATACGCATAATTTAATGTTATGAACCGAGTATAAATTTTTCTTTCTTCTTTTTTTTAATGTAAACTAAACCACTTTACATATTTCTTGAGAAAATCATTACCTACCATAAATTTAAAAATCCCTACTAAAAAACTGATAGTCGTATAGAAAACGTAACGAAAAATATTAAAATTAATAGATAGAATTAGTTTCACAGTTGGAATGGAATGGATGGCAAAATCTTTTCTTTATCCCTTACATTATAAAAAGTCTTATTCGTAAAAAACGTATTATAATGTAAATATTTCATTGAATTAGTGCACCTACCATCGCTTATACTCGTATTATTATTTTTCTTCAGCGCAGCCCTCCTTGATTTTATTATCTGAAATCGGAAAATTCATGTTTTATATTTATTATGTAAAGAAAATTATCATTAAACGTAAGGTTCCTTTCCAAATCGCAAAACCTAAACTGAACTCGTATTTTGGTATAACAGGCTCCAATGATTATAAGAAAATTAACAATCTTGTATCTCACTTAAAATCTCTTTGAATTAATTATTCATTTGTAGACTCCAAAGGTCAGTAGCTCGCACACACGTTTATTAGTTTCATTTTTCATTAAATACATTAACATGAAAAAGTTTATATTTTTCATTGCAAGCATTAAGGTCTTTGTATTCATAATAATGTCTCTTTTATACTGTAGAATACCTAGTCATTTAATGTTTCTAACAGATTTAAGTGTGCGATTGTGGGTTGCCGACAAGGTCAGCCGTCTGTCATGTTTTCTGGCAATCAATTGAGAAATGGTGTCAGCTTTACTGACCACATCACCGCATCTAGGCACTTACTAAGAAAAAATTCAAAAGGTGGGTTTAAACTAAACAAACAAAGAACTAGAATCAGAGTACAGCATTAACTCTTGATTTTTTAGTGTAAACAAAACGTTTCAGTGTTTGTGTTACAGGAAATGTATGAATTCTAGGAATTGTATACTATTCCTAGGAAATGTATACAATTCCGAAGCTATTTAGGAAATGTATAAAATATTGCTTCAGAGATTTTTTAATAAGCACATATCCTAGGACATGTATACTTTTCCTAGGAATTTTATAGAATTCCAATATTGTATTAGGAAATGTATAAAACTAAGCGGCACAAGCGCGGTCATGTGATTTGGTGCCCCTCAGTACGCCTAAAATTTTATTTAGACAAACCACATTGACCGATAGGTACTTTTAACTCACGACTATTATTGTTTAGCCTGAAAGTTGTTTTCGCACTATTATACTTTGACTGAAAAAAATATTTGCCTATTGGCATACCTTTCTTTCGGCATCACGCATATTACGCTGAAGTATTGGAAAACCCTAAATTTAACATATCTTTTATTAAACTATTATATGTTGTGTTGAGTTGTGTAGTTTTGTGCGATTTAACGATAAGAACGACAATGGTGAAAGGTAATGGGGGCAAATTTTTTCCCTCAACGAAAAAGATGAATTTGTTATAATCTTACTTGACCACAAGGATACTGTACGAGCACGTCAGCATCGACCGCGACCTACAACATGCTAGCCGACTGGCCCATGAACACTGAACGAACGTGCACCGTAGGCACTCTACACCGACGGCACATTGGACTGGACACATTGAATTGTGTACATTATGTAAATCTTGTATATAGCAATAGCATAACAGTAATAAACCAGATATCAACAGTCCGCGTTGTGTTTAATTTCCCCCACTGAGGCCAAGAAAGCCTTAGCGCAGTCCTCCTTCCTATCAAACCTTTCTTTAAATCTAATTAAAAGGTATTGTTAGGGCTCTAGGGACTACAAACGAAGCCAGAAATATAGCTTGGTTATGAGTAACCAATACCTACTACCTATATCGCATGTGATCCTGTCTCATTCTATAATATATGGCCACCCTTAGTAGTCCAGTCATTTAAGCTTAAATTAGGTAAGAATCTCGGAATTAGAGATACCCAGCTGTAAGTCTGTAAATACTTGTATATTGACACCCTAAAAGTTGTCTCAAAACCTACATATGGTAGGGTGTAAGCATCTATTAAATTTTAAGGTCAAAGGTCACAAAAATCGGTATTTTGCGCTTTTTTTGGAAATATCTCATTTCCTATGGGTTTTTTGCTATTTGTATTTATAATCAATATTGTAGAATACTAAATTCTCTACAAATTTTGTTTAAAAAATTTTTTTATACGGTGGACCGTTTTCGAGATAGAGGGCGGA